CGTTTTAGCGTTTTCTGTTCATATGTCAGCATGTTTTTGAAGCTCATTTTCATTTGTGCAATGAGAAGCAGGCTCAGCTGCTGAAATGTGCATAAAAAAAAAAACCACGTGGAATCTATGGAGCAAAACGAGCTGATCAGAACGACAAAAGAAGCTCAGGGACTATTTCAAGCTACAGGTGTATTTGTACGGGTGATTCTGCGTGCTTGCGCGAACGCCCCCCATTGGAATGTATGGGATTTTATTTGAATGTGTTTCAATGCGGAAAAATTCACGTGATGAAACCACACTGGTGTGAACGGGGTCTTAGGGCTGACTCAACATTGGCAGTCCAAACTGAAATAGCTCTGGATACCGAAGTAAGCTCTCCTAAGATCCAAGTCAGCTTTGCAATCCAGCGGATCTCTGAATGAGACTGCATCCTCCGTGGGAAGTGTCACATGCCTTGCCAATTGCATTACTGTTGCATCTACCAAAGGTGGATTTACTAGGCTCAATATGTCATCCTCCTTTAGAGGATACAGTGTAGAAATCCTATTGTTGGAGTCCGGCTTTTTTTCTACCTTTTTCCACTCATCAAGGACAATATACTTGATCTCCTCCATGTAAGGGAAGGTATTAGAAGCCTTCTTGAGATGAGGAAAATATTTGCAGCTCTTAGTAGACTGTTCCCCCGGGTCATCCCATTCGATTGCTTCTTTGACGCCCTCCACAAATGACACCACAAGGGTAAAAGCTGAACCCCAAGGATCCTTGCATCTCTGTTCATGGGAATGATTGGAAGAATTTGAATCTGATAATTCCCCTAGGGTGGTCTGGGCTTGGGCTAGCAGATAGGGGAGTGGAAAGGTCTTCCATATATTCTTTAACTGATTGCTTAAATCAGAGAAGATAGCTTGTGGGAGGAAAAGTGCTTATACATCCACACACAAACATTTACACATACACTAGCCACTGAAAATCAAAGGAGAAGTGTGGGGAGAGTAAAATATACTCTGCCCGCTGCTTAGATGCTCACATGCCGGCTCTATACCAAAAGCTGAGCTATTTTGTAACCGCTGATCACATCTCCCTGTAGGGATTCCCACTCCCCCTCTGTTCTTCCAGTGCTCACTGGAAGGACAGACTGGGCAGAGATTAGGCATAGCCATTTATCAGGAAGCCAGAGCAGATCCCACAATGTTGTTGGGATCTTTCCCCTGGCTGCAGTCAAAAGCCTGTTATATGCTGATTTTGGTGGTTCACAGGATCCTGTGACAAAAAAAAAAAAAAAAAAAAGAAGTGCAGCCAAAAAAAAAAAAAAAGGCATAGCTTTACCTCTCTTTCAACCAAACAGCATAATTTACAACAGGATATTATCAGATTTGGAACAGTTTAAACGGCTTTTTCTATGTTTCGTTAAAAAAACTGAGAAAAACTTTTGTATTCTTCTACCTCATGTGGATTGACAGGAGGCTACTTTTTTAAAAACACTATCCATTAGCTGTTTACAGTTGGAGTGCCATTTTAGGCTGCTACAGTACTTAGTATTATCCAACACACATACATCTCAGAAATGCAATAATACAAGGGGCACTGAAACCAGAACTCACCTTTCAGTGCAGTGGGAAGTGCAAGCAAGGCCTGCAAGACCCAGTGGGTCACATTTAAATTAACCTTAGCTATGTCACTTTGGTATCTCCATTCTGTTTCCAAAACTGACTTTTCAATTCCAAATGATGTTTGATTTAAAAAACAGAAACACAGCAATATATTTTATGGAAGGAGGAGATGATCATGCCTTATGTTAAGTTCCAGCTATTTATAGATAAAGGCGGTCTTATATTGTAACCTTCAGATAAAATGCCACAAAACTCTTGTGTAATTGTATCTTTATCTGTATACAGAGCAGCATTTCTCAACCTTTTTTCAGTCCATGCAGCCTTTAAAAGTATGCAAAACCTCGAGGCACCCAAGTCTAAATTATAAAAAAAAACTAGATTTAAAAATGACCCCCCCTTCACATCAGGAACCCCCTTCTTTCACATCAGAGACCCCCACACACATTACAAGCATTCCAGCACTTATGCGTGGGGTGCGCCTACGTGTGCGAAAACGCCGATTGCTCCTATTGTGCCGCACATAATTTTAGGGCCATCAATCACCGATAAACAATAAACTGATAAGCAGTAAAAGCGTTTTAAGCGTCACCTATGGGCGATTTTGCGGGCGCACGCAATTTTAAGGCTTGACATGTTTGGTGTCTATTTACCCGACGTGACCCCGACTTTTATGTTTTACCCAAAATATGGGTAATAATAATTGTTTTATAACATAGTGTAGGGAAACTTTTTTTTTCCTTTTACTTTTTTCATTATTTTTCATTATATAGTAAAAAAATAACCCCCGAGGTGATTATATACCTCCTAAAGAAAGCTCTATCTGTCCCCAAAAAATGTTAACGTAAATTGCAAGGCCGATAGTCCAGTCATGCTGACTGGTGACATTTTTGACTGACTGGTGAGACACCCTAAAATTTTTCAAGCCCTGTATGTATGTATGTATGTATGTATGTATGTATGAAAAAAACAAAAAATATATATATATATATATATAAATAAAACAATTCACAGAGCATTCACCCTGCAAAAATGCATGTACATTCGTTCTCTGTGAAATGTTTCAACTACACCCCATAGTGTCTCTGTGTTCACACCAAATGTGCTTCTCTTGTCTTTAACCAGTTGACATCCGCAGTGTTAAACCCCCTTCCCATCCAGGCCATTTTTCATAATATAGAAACAACTACAAGTGTGTAAATATCAACAATAAATACCTTACTGTGATAAGATGTAAGAAGTCATGTTGGATTTTCTTTGAGTTGGATCAAAGCATTCAGCTTCAGGTATAGGATGCTTTAGCAATTACACATTTTGGACCAATATAAAGCTAACACACGTACATTTGGCGCCCTGTTATCCTTTTAAAAAAAAATACAGAACTTTGAAATGCCCAAGATTTTTATGAATGTAAAGCACTTACCCATTCCAGGCGAAAAGCAGATGTTAACACAAAGCAACAGAGCACAGGCATTTCTGTTTAAGTGCTTGTTATGAACTGCCAAAAATATTCTGGAAAAGCTGAAGTGAAACTGTGATGCATCCACCCAAACAACTAAACAGCTGCTACTAACTATGTGCAGATACGTGCCTGCCTACAGTTGCCATCAACTGTATTCCTTCCTAAAAAAATTATCTCCTTTCAAATTGCTCTAATAATGTCTTTCTAACTGATACTTACAGCTGGAATTGCTTAAAGCTAAACTCCAGACAGAAGAAAATCCTATTTATCCCAGTTGTATTCATTAAAAAATAATTTCATTGGAACTTTGGACAAAAAGCCTAGGCCCTTCATCAGGTAAATAATACAGAATGGACGAGGACAGTACATTGGTTGGTACAGAGTATATATAGTATAACAGAATACTTCTGGTTCACCAGATTCTATTCTGGGGACAGAGTTTGACTGTCCATGGTCCCCACATTATAATTTTACAGCATTTATATAGCGACAACAATTTGCGCAGCGCTTAACAATATAAGGAAGACATTACAATACAATTCAAGACAAGATGGTAAGGAGGGCCCTGCTCTAAGCTCGTAAGTTAGCAAGTAGAAGGGGAGGTTATACTAATTACTAACATCCATTCTGAAAGAGATGGGGGGGGGATGTTTTCTTTCGGGTAAGAAGCATTTGTTTTTTCCATAAAAGTTGAAGGAGCATTTTAGAGGAGGTGGTGAAAGGAAGGTTGTCTAGGATTTGAAGTAAGCATTACTTAGCTACTTTAATAAAGCTTGTAACTTCAGACCAGAATCTCTGGATATTATCACGCTGTGTGAAGGAAACCAGCTTTAGCACAGCAACCCTTCAAGCAAAGAGCTTTGGGGCTTGCCTATCCTTAACCCCTTCGTGACTGACGACGTACAGTGTACGTCGCCAGCATCGGGGCTGTTTAAACAGACTCCCGGCGACTTTTGCCGCCGGGACTCTGTTTAAACTTGTAGAGCCGACTGTCGGCTTTACAACAGAAGCGATCCTGGCGACTTACCTGTCGCCTTGGGGGGTTTTACGTCATTTTCAGGCCTAAAATGTGGAATATAACATGGGTGCAAAAATTGAAAAAAGGGCCTCAGTCATGAAGGGGTTAAAGGATATCACTGACATTATCTTCGAGATCTGACCAATTGCTCAGGTCAATAAAATCATTTATACTAGTAGTGTGGGGAACGGTTAGGAGATCTGTTTGGTTAGGAGATCTGTTTGGTTTTTGTGTCTGTCTTTTTTCCATTGCCTAGATTCGAAGTCTTATATTAGACAAAATGTATTGGGAAGTTTTTGTGTTTATCTTTCCCTGTGTATATAAGGAGTCAATCTGTTTTACAAGTTTGGTGGCCTGTTTTCCTGTTCTGATAGTATTGGCAGCTCTTGTGATCTCTAGCACTGTATTGGTGTGCAACTTATTGGTCAAAAGAGGGTGCAGGAAATATCATAGAATGTGAAACATGGAGGTTGGAAAAGAGTCCACTGAGATGTAAATTCCTCCTAACAACAGTGCAACGAAACATACCTATAACCTGTGGACCTATGCTGAATGGCTGGAGGACACCAAAAGTGTTGACCATCCACAGGATCCAGTGGGACATTGTAAAGGTTATGTGGCACTAGGTTTTACCAGAAGAGATAAATGACTAATCAAGGGATTAGAGTTAGGTAATGTTCTATACAGCAGGGCATGTGCAATCCCCAGTGTAGCAGAACCACCACCAGAGTAAGCATACAATACTAATAAAAGTACTTATAATATTATGACTAATGTAAATTCTTCTTGGGAACTGATTTTTGTAGGTGGCATAGACAATCACTTTAGAGAAAATATAGTGAGAAATGTTTGCAAAAAAAGACAATTAGTGGCTAAGTCTGGATTACCTCGGGGATGATTTACAGAACTGTGAGTTTCTTACCTAAAGCCATGTCACTGTTTGTGTCCTCAACAGGAAGATCCCCAAAACCTCCATTTTCTTCCAAGGTAAGTAATGGGTCATCATCTTCCTGTGTTCCAGCCATTCCTAAAATAATCCAGCAATCCTCTTGAGATATTGGTGACTATGTGATGTTCATCTGAAAACCAATATGCACAGTCTTCTGCCAGAGAGGACTAACATGAAGGGTCTCACGCATGGAGAGGCTTCAACAACGAAAGACACTTAGGCAACGTCATCTCCTCAGAAATCCAAAAACTGGTGCTGCTGCAATCAACAACATTAATGAGAAATGATTTAACAAGGCCATTTTATTAAAAGACCTTGAAAATGGATGTTCTTTTATAACATGACATGTTTTATAACTTCATTAACTGAATGTTATCCATTATATGTGCAGGACAGAGGATGATTTGTAGATTACCTGTACTTTGGTAGATAACAAAAAGCTGAACTCCAGCCAGACAGATCAATACATGGCTGAAATACATATTTATATGTCAAGTTTTACTTGCCAAAGGATTCGTAATTCATTTGAACCAGTGTTGTAATCTACTCTTCTTTTAAAACACTGTATAGCCTGGAAGAAGACACTACTATTTCCTGGTTCAGCTTTACAGATTCCTATGTCACCTGCCTTCTCATAGAACAATGAATCAGCAGTCTGTTTAGAGATGACAATTAAATTGTATAATGCTTGGCTACAAAGATAGGCAAAGGGTCTAGTCTACACAAGACATAAAACCTATTTGACTTTTTGTTAACGGCTGAATTCAAGTGGGCTAAATTAGTGTTTCTACAGTAGCATTCACCCACAGTATGTACCTTAATATTCTGTCCAATCTTTACCAAGTACCTATTAAAGTAAAGGGTGGACAGTGTATGGACCCAAAATGATTTGTTCTTTATGTATATGGAGAGGATTAGTTGACTTTATAGATACCGAAGGGGACTTGTAAGATACAAGCATTACAGAATACCCACTGATAGGGGTTGCCTAATCTGAATTATCCCTTGTCTTGGGTACAATACTGGTGCCGCCTTACTGACTGTAAATGTTTTCAAATCAATTATGTTTTAAAAAAGGAAAAATGCTTACTGCTATCCAAAGCATTGTAATGAATTTGCTATAAGAAGCAGAAGCACTGTCTTTGATACACATACTACAGGTTAAGAACCAGACAGCCAAAGTACCTTGTTCTTCAGCACACAGCATCTAGCTTACCAATTGTAAATACTGAAGGTAGATCTTGCTTAACTGTGAAGATTTTCACTTCAGAACACTGAACCTAGCTGACCTTTTGTGACTAGGCCACATCCTAGTCAGCTAAATGATATAGTCTTTTCAGAAACCAAAATCCAATCCTGTACATCCTGCAGGTCTTGTAGAAAGATAGACAGCAGTCCGATTCCCACCCTAACCCTTTCCACCAACCAAGAGAACTATGGCCCAAGCTTTTTTTTGCAATAATTGTCTTTAAGGTAACAGGAGGACATATACTAATGTCCTCCTGTGACCCAAAACTCAGCATATAGCAGGCTATGGCCTGCTACACTATATTACCAAAAGTATTGGGACACATGCCTTTACATGCACAAGAACTTTAATGGCATCCCAGTCTTTGTCCGAGGGGTTCAATATTGAGTTGGCCCACCCTATTCAGCTATAACAGCTTCAGCTCTTCTGGGAAGGCATCCACAAGGTTTAGGAGTGTGTCTACAGGAATGTTTGACCATTCTTCCAGAAGCGTATTTGTGAGGTCAGGTGCTGATGTTGGGGGAGAAGGCCGGGCTCGCAGTCTCCGCTCTAATTCATCCCAAAGGTGTTGTATCGGGTTGAGCTCAGGACTCTGTGTAGGCCAGTCAAGTTCCTCCCCCCCAAACTCGCTCATCCATGTCTTTATGGACCTTGCTTTGTGCACTGGTGCGCAGCCATGTTGGAACAGGAAGGGGCTATCCCCAAACTGTTCCCACAAAGTTGGGAGCATGAAATTGTCCAAAAAGTCTTGGTATGCTGATGCCTTAAGAGCATACACCATAATCCCCCCTCCACCAATTTTTACACTTGGCACAATGCAGTCAGGCAAGTACCGTTCTCCTGGCAACCGCCAATCCCAGACATGTCCATTGTATTGCCAGACAGAGAAGCGTGACTCGTCACTCCAGAGAACGTCTCCACTTCTCTAGAGTCCACTGGCGGCGTGCTTTACACCACTGCATCCGACGCTTTGCATTGCACTTGGTGATGTAAGGCTTGGATGCAGCTGCTCAGCCATGGAAACCCATTCCATGAAGCTCTCTACGCACTGTTGTGCCAATCTGAAGGCCACACGAAGTTTGCAGGTCTGTAGCTATTGACTCTGTGCGCTTCAGCATGCGCTGACCCTGCTCTGTCATTTTACGTGGCCTACCACATTGTGGCTGAGTTGCTGTTGCTTCCACTTTGTTATAATACCACTAACAGGTGACCGTGGAATATTTAGTAACAAGGAAATTTCACGGATGGACATATTGCACATGTGGCAACCTATCATGGTACAACGCTTGAATTCACCGAGCTCCTGAGAGCGACCCATTCTTTCACAAATGTTTGTAGAAGCAGTCTGCATGCCTAGGTGCTTGATTTCATACACCTGTGGCCATGGAGGTGATTGGAACACCCGAATCCAATGAAGACTTTTGGCAATATAGTGTATATGCTGACATTACAGAGCCGCACTGCGGCCGGGAAAGATCTCGACACTATTGTCTGGATCCACCCCACTGTCTGCATGACAGCGGGCTCTGTCTCTCTAGGTCCAGAGTCAACTGTGCCCGCCACCTCCCCTATCTGTCCCTCCAATGAGCACTGGAGGAGTGGAGAAGGGAGGGGGGAATCCTTGCAGGGAGAGGGGACTGACAAGGAGATGATCAGGAAGTATGTGAGCGCTCAGTTCTCGATCAATAGAGCCAACGTCTGACAGCTTCAGTGTCACACGTCGGCTCTAATTATGGAGATGAGTGTATTTCACTCTCCTCATAATTCTCCTATAACTATTTACAAGTTAGACAAATTCATTTTTTTCCTTTACTTTTGGCTAGAATGGGGAGGGGTTAGAACCTGTCAAGAGTCTTACTGCTGTCTTTATGCCCTTTAGGGAGATTCCCCCTTTCTATTTGTCCTGACCATTGTCACTAGGACTAAGGGCTCAATCATACCTGCCTGCATCCTAAAACAGTGTGGTCTGGTGTCCGTTTTGTGTGAGGGCTATGCGACGCATTGCTACAAACACATGGCACTGTTTAATTTTTTATTTTACAGAAGTGTCACACAAAGACACTTCATTCATATCTATGCACCGCAGTGTGTTGCGATGTGCTGCAGAGCATGTGTTCATTCTTATGCAACGCACTGCAACCCCCATCAACTCAGCATTATGATCAGAACAAGGCACATAGAAAATAACTGATTTCTATGTGACCTTGTGTGGATCTGCGCAGATCAATGCAACTCAACTGCTATGGTGTAAACGAGCCGTAAAAGTGAAGGCAAAAATTAAAGTGACACTAAACTCAGGAGTTAAATCTTAAAAATGCATTCAAGTACCTTAACTATTAACAAAAATGTAACGTATTTGTGTATCACTCAGCTGTAGATCATGAAATCATCTCTAAATTCATGCTGACAGTGTCCTTCCTTCGGGAGGGTGGCTACTTTTGTTCCCCATGGTCCCTATGTGTGTTGTAAATTAGTCCCTGATCTAAGCTCACTCCTGTGATGGACTACAAGCTCAATACAAATAGTAAACTAAAAATTCGTTTTAAGTCCATCACAGGAGCAAGCTTGGAGTGGGGGCTACTTTACCACACCCGATTCCCCCATTCATTAACATAGATGATGAATCTCCCACTGCCGGCTACTGTATTGTGACAGCCACTGCCGCTGTCAAGAGGACCCGACCAATAACTGCAGCCAATGTCTGAACAACAATTTTCCTTTGATAAAAGATCACCTTCTGGTGAATGAAGTGGTGGCGGCAGCTCCACACACTGCTCGGATTTGGGCTGAGTTGGCAGTTTTCTTTCTATCTCCATGTTTATATTTGACTGCTTCAGAGAGATTTCCTTTTTCCTGTTGTGTCTGGAAACAGGAAGTGAAGGAAATTCTCTCCAATGGCATACAGACACCAAAAAACAAAACCACTTTTCCTGGGTTTTAATGATTGCCTACCCTTCTAAAACAACACACACAAAAAAGTTTTTTCAGAGTGGTTTCAGAGACACTGTAGGTTACAAAGTATATACTGTAGTTTCCCTTCTCCCCACAGTCGTGTCATGTAGATTGATCCAACACTCTTCCCACAGACGCAAAGCCGGATGGAGCCCTGACCTATGGTGGGGGTCACATAAGACTGGCAGACACGGAGGTCCTCAGTGTGATAAAAGAAGGCTCTTCTCCCCAGGGAGAGACGCCTCTTCATAATAAACTCATGTTTCCTCGGTGCTGCTGTGCGCACATATTACCCGCTCATTCCTCCTTACCTCAGCATCTCCCAGTCCGCTGGGATATCACGTGACATGGGGTTCTCGGAGCTGGAACCAGTCAGGGCACCAACACATCACCAGCAGCACCAGGACTGTGCATGATTTCTCAACGCATGCGCAACACAGACCAAATTTCTGGTCCGTGGATGTACGCATGTGCAGCATTCCTTCGCAACCCAGCCTATCGGCCTCGTCCGTATGCTGCCTGTGTGGTTGTAATTCATGTCAAAGGCAGGACCCTTACGCCTGCGCAGCAGCCGCTAAGGCTCGCACTTCTACCATTGGCTGAGCAAGAGAAGTGTTATCACATGACTGGTCTCCATAGCAATTGTATACTGATAAAGTATACAGGGAAGCAGCTCTGAAGGAGGCAGCGGAGAAGAGATCAGCGGCTACCATCAGGAGGGCAAGTGCACGATTTTGTCAGGGGGTTCATTCTACGATGGGCCTCAGACTGAGTCAGGTTTTATCTGATCCAACTAAAGGTCACCATACACCTTACAATCTCTATACAGTCAACTTTAGATTTTCCAAAACAATTAAATAAGAGGACCTACCTAATCTATCCAGTTATTTGTATCCAATTAAACCGGTCCTTGTACTAGAAGGAGATTGTACAATCAGATTGTAATGTGTGTGTCAAACAGAAGACCTTTGTAACCAATCCTAAAATTGTAACAACTTTCCACGAATTTAAACAACCATTAATTGCAATCTGAATTCCGACTCCCAAAAAAGTCAATTTCAAATTCTTGATTTAGTGATATATAGTTTATGTATTTTAAAGAAGAGCTCCAGGGAAAATGATTATTAACAAAGAAGATTAGACGACTGAACTTTTAAACAATTCGTTTTGTGCATGAAGAGCATTGTAAATTGGCCAATAAACTGAGAGATGTCAGACAATCTCATGATTCCAACAGGACAGAATGTCATTCTGGTTGTTGACAAGTAAGGGTTACCCGCTCGTTTTGGTCTAGGGAGGAAAATAAAAAAGTTATACTCACCCCATCTTTGAAGCCGGCCCGGCTGTGACAGCACTCCCCTCCTATGATGCAACGATTGAATGTCCTCTGATGTCCTCAGGCCCTATACAGTATGTATAGAACGTGATGATTTACAGAATCTTAGACCGCTGCAGCGGAGGAGAGAGGCTGGAAGGACCAGTCTAAGAGCGAGACAGGTGAGTATCACTTTTTTATTTCCCTGCGTAGACACAAATGAGCACTTAACACTTGCTGTGCGGGGTAGCCCCACTGCAAGGGTTAAAGTGACATTACAGTCACAAATGTCCCCGTCCCCCCATGCTGCTTTAAAGACTAACCTTAAGGCCCCGTTCACATTTATCGCGCGGTAATTCCCGCGATATCGCGGCTATTTACCGCGCGATATCGCTCTTCAATGCATCTCAATGGGGCAAAGGGTCCTGCTGTCGCGGGTCGTGTGTCGCTACAGCAGGACCCTTTTTGGAGCGGATTTTGCCACGATTCTCGCTTGCTCAATGCAAGCATTTGCGCGATATCGCGCAAAATGCAAATCGCGCGACAAACACGCAATTTGCGAATCGCGCAGTGTGAATGGGGCCTAAATGATTCCTCTTGATCCAATCATCTTCTTCCTTCCAAGGTCATATCTGGAATTGCAAAGGCATTTGGTGCACACAAAGTGGATTTATATCCTTTGTGACTATAGAGAAATATATATGTAAATCAAAATGTTTGTGCCTGGAGTTTAGATTTAAAATTAAAGCATAGAAAGAGCAAAATAAAATGCTTAGTTTGCTTAAATAATGACTTATACAGTGGTACCTCGGCTCAAAAACTTAATTGGTTCCACGATTCTGGTTGCGGACCGACTAAAATTTTCCCATAAGGTTCAATGTAAATGAGGTTAATCCGTTCTGAACCATATGTACATTTTATTTTTAACCACAAAAATATGGCACAAAGTACAGTACAGAATGAAGAGAGTGAACACTAACCTTTGCACTTTCTTTGGAGCCATGCTGGATTGAATAATACTGTACAATACTGTATGTGCTATAAAGCGAGTGTGCACAGGTCTGTCTGCGACCGCAATCTCGACTAGAGGAAGCCACGACCACGTGTCAGAGCGGGGAAGATGGTCACGGTCGTGTTCGTCACCCAAATTGGAATTCGCGAACAGAAGCAACATTTTGCTGAACTTCCTGTTCACGAACCAAATTGTTTGCGAACAGAAGCGTTCATGAACCGAGGTACCACTGTATATGTGAGAAGTGCCTGTGCTGCAACTCTGTGCACTTTTTATAGATGGTTGCTAGGTCAGCTCATTTTAAAAAGATTATATCCATAGATTAACCTCAGTGCATCCAGGTAGTGCTATGTTATATTTTCTTTTATATCATTCATAATCTGATACAAGATTATGTGCATGAAGGTAAACCAAGAAGTTTGACTTTTAAATGTTGTTCTTCTCCATCACTGCAAGGAGTTTGCATGTTCTTCCTGTGCTATTCCTCCGGGTACTTGGGTTTCCTCCCACACTCCTAAGTTAATTGTCTCCTGTCTAAATTGGCCCTAGTATGCAATATGGACCTTAGATTGTAAGCTCCTCGAGGGCAGGGACTGATGTGAATGTGCAACTATGTAAAGCGCTGTGTATATTGTCGGCGCTATATAAATACCTCTAATAAATAAAACAATAAATGAAAATAATTGAGAAAGAGTATAGGTCATGGGGTACAGGGGATATTTAAAGGAGAACTATGGGGTAAGTGTTTTCCCCCATAGTTCTCCTCAAGGTCACGGGAGGACATAAACTAGCGTCCTCCCGTGACCCAAAGCTCAGTATACCGCGAGCTACAGCTTGCGGTATACTGAGACCGACGCAGCGGGGACGGATCCTGACATTACTGTTGAGATCCACCCAGCTGCGTGATTGACAGCTGGCTCTGCCTATTTAAAGGCAGAGCCAGCTGTACCCGCCCCCTCCCCCGTTCGCTCCTCCAGTCAGCGCTGGGGGATCGAACAGGGGAATCCCTGCAGGGAGCCGTGAGTGACAGTCACGGCTCTCTGCAGGGACATGATCGAGAAGTGAGCGAGCGACGGTATGTGTTCGCTCACTTCCCGATCTATTGAGCCGACCTGTGACAGTCTCATTGTCACACGTCGGCTCGAACTATGAGGTTGAGTGAAAATCACTCACCTCATAGTTCTCCTTTAACCCTCCTTTGTAATCTGATTATACACACATACAACACGTGTGGTGTTATATGACGTCATGCGCCCTGCCTCCAGAACACGCCAATGGCTGAATCCAAAATAGCATAAAAATTTCTTTTGTTTGATGAAACGAATGAAAACGTTTTTATTTTTCGTTCATTTCATGTGAAATTCATTTTTAGTCTTCGCACTTGTCTAATAATATGTGTGTGTAGCCCTGCTCGGACAGTCCGGGTTTTGAATGCTGTGTCTGGGTTTCATGGCAGCTGAAACCCGGACATGTGATGTCAGGCAGACAGGGGCAACCAAAATTAAGATGGGGCTACTGGCCCCCCACTGAAAATAGTCTCTACTGTGATAGTTACATATGAATGGGTGACGCTATTTACATGTTAATAAGCCATGACTCATTCTCTAAAAATAAATGTCTGTGAGTCGCTAGAGTGTTCGGGTTTCGCTGAAAGAAAAGGTGGCAACCCTAGGTATATGGTGTTTTTATTTTGGTTTTCCTTTTTTTCTGTAATTGAAAGCTAGGGATGCACCAATAACGGTTTTTCGGTATCGAGTGCGAGTACTGATATTTATATTTCAGCCGATGCCGAGTACCGATACCAGTGCTTCCACTAGCATGGAGCCGGCTTCCTAGGCAATCTAGGTAATAACACGTCTAGGTAATAACACGCCCTCGGCTTCCAGATTGCCTAGGAAGCCGGGGGTGTGTTATTACCCGCCGCCTGGCTTCCTAATTGGCTGGGAAGCTGGCTCCATGCTGTTTAGACGGATCGATGTTGATTGGCCGGGGAAGCCGGCTACCCAGCCAATCAGGAACCCGGCTTCCTGGCTAATCAGCATGGATCCGGACAAACAGCATTGAGCCAGCTTCCCGGCCATCCAGGAAGCGGGGCAGCGAGTCATTACCAAGTCATTACTCGGTATTGGCACCGAAACTAATATCAGTATTGATGTAGCCCTATTGAAAACATGTTTAATAATCATAAGTTAAAAAAAAAAAATTTGAAATTTTAACAGCCCTTTTACACCAGAAAAATCCTTGAAATAATTTTCAGTCCTTGGGGAATCCTTACTAAATCCAATTAATTGGAGGTCAGTGGAAAGAACATTGGTGGCTCGTGGAAAGAATGCCCTCCCCCTTAGTCAGATAGCCACCCTTAAGCTGGGTACACACAGATCGAATTGCAGCCAATCAGCAGGAATCGGACAAATTTCAATTTGTAGGTAGCCCTATCTCCTTGACAAAAGTCGTTTGTTGTCAGAATACAAAGGACACACCTTAAGATTCATCCACACTTTAGTGTGGATGGAGGATTCTACCAGATTTTCTTTTGTTCAGCCTTGGAGGCTGAGCCACAAAAAAATCTGTCCATGTGTACCCAGCTTAACAGCTAAAAAGATCACTGAGTTCATGCAGTTGGCTCCTCCAAGTGGCGTTGACCCCAAAACTCTGCAGGCACCATCAGATGGGAGGTCAGTCAGCCACAGCTCAAGAAACCCCTAGCAACTTCTAAAGGAACCCTAGGATTCCATGGAAGCCTGGTAAAGATTGGCTGTTTAATGTTGATCTTTGTGTTCACACAAGAATCATACCTCGCTCCTGATTATATATGTATTTTCTTCTACAGCCAGCTGTCCAGCAGAAAAAGCTGAAAATCCGATGCATAGCTGAAACATTTTAATTTCGATTTTGCAGAATAAGACATCAGTGCTTTATGAAGCATGGCATCAGAGGTCCTCCCTGTGTCCCAGGCGCCAATGCTGGCCTCACACCAGCAGTCACAATCCCCAATTGACGCTGGAGAGAGAATTTTGAAACCAGTTCAGAAGAATCAGTCAAGCCTTGACAGTTTGAAGATGCTGGAACCTGGACGAAAAAAACTGAGCTCGGTAGAAACCCAGAGGGTGGTGGCAGTGCTTGATGAGACAATCAAAAAGCTTGAACTTGTCAGTCTTTTCCAACATGCCATTGAAAACATGGAGAGATATAGTATAGTGTTTGGCTCTGAGCTGACGGGAGCTTTGAGGGAGCATCAGAGACTACAAGTGAACATGCAGAGACAACTTAGTCACTTGAATAAAGAAGTAATGGAAGATAAAGAACAACATGGATCGTTGTGGGGAAAAACAGATATGTCAGATACAGCTCGCATTAATCTTACGGTACAAGGAGTTCAAAGCTCAGTAAGGAATATCATGAGGTTGTTCTTGGCTAACCCTACTGCAAGCAAGGCACTGCGATCCGAAGGACACATAAGGGATCAGACCTTTCAGACACTCATCCAAAGCCTTTCAGAGTTGAGAGGATTTCTTTTTGAGATGCTCCTGACCAGTCCTCTTGAACAGAAGGAGAGGATTCACTTCCTCCAGAAGATCACTCTCCGTGACCATAAGAACAGGGAGGCTTTGTCAGCTTTAGAAGAGGAGCTTAATGCTGCTATTCTTGATCGTGACACTGAGGTATGCAATTCAGAAAGAACTCACAGAGGTATTTAGCAGATGTGCAAGTCACTTCAAGAATAATATCTTTATTTTCTTACTGTTATGGTATAGTTCAGTTACATGTTCACATTTGGGTTTTATAGAGTTTGCCTGCTTGGAACCTGGATGAATGTGAAAAACAAAGAATTTCCACTGTGACCATTTTAGCCGGCCCATAAAAAAAATGTTTTTCATGCAAATAAGCTGCAAAGTTTTATAATTAGAAGAAATAAGATAAGCATGTAGGCCACATCTTCTGACCTCCTTGTGAAAATGCTAGTTACCTGTTTTTTTATGATGATCTTCTAAGTTCAATACTTTTAAAGTCACTAACCTGGAACAAGTATTTAGATCAGGAGGCCGGATTTCACTATTATTTCACTTGTTGCTGGAGCTTAGCAATGGGCACCACATTCTTCATGATAGGTTTCCTTTAAAATGGTGAAAATGCATGAAATATATTTCAATATCTTTTTAAAGAAGCCTAAATAACAATAAAATGCATTAAAGGCTAAAAGAATTGCATCAACATAAAATGCTAGCTGCGAGCACTGTTTGAGTACAATATAATGCATACAATGGGAGATTTGTTCATCCACATTGTTGCATGAATGGAGGAATTTTTTTTCCTTCAGGCTCACAGGCTGAATGAAAAAAAAATCTATTTGTGTGTACCCTGTTTTATACACACTCCTTGTCCTTGAAGTTCATAGTAAGGATCAGACCCATGTTAAACTCTACTTCTCAAAGAGACCTTTTGCTTCCATTGATAAAACTCCAATCCATAGCAGTTGCCCGTAATGTGTTCACATGATGGAACTCACTAAAGGCCAGTGGTGTATTTTGGTTTTATGCTGCCCTAGGCAAGACTAAACTTAGGCACCCCCGATCTAAATTTGCCCCACCCCTTCCTGTTAAAAAGACATTTTGCGTAACCTGTCAGTCACTGGATAAAACATGCACAATGTATTCAGTTTCTGGCAGGTTGCGCTATTAGCGTATCGGGGAAGCCTGGGGTTTCAGGTGGGCTGTGCGGGGTCTCAAGTAGTGGGCTGTGTGGAGTCTCAAGTGGTGGGCTGTGCGGGGTCTATGGTGGGCTGTGCAGGTCCCTTTCCATGCACACATGTGCTTCTCCTCTTTCCTGCAGCCCAAAAGTGCCATTGGTACCAGCTGGACACATTGCAGCTCCCTAGCCCAGGGGTCAGCAACCTTAAACACTCAAAGAGCCATTTGGACCCGTTTCCCACAGATGCTTAGTAATGCACTGGACTCTGGACTTACCTGAGAACCAGCAGAGCCCACCTGAGAGTGACCCTGCAGAGGACACCATAGATCCTGCACAGCCCATCTGAGACTCTCTATGGTGGGCTCTGCAGGGCCTCAGGTGGGCTGGTCGCCGGGGTTCCTTTCCCTGTACCTCTTCCCAACTCTTACCTGCTGCTGCTGGGGCACCCCCTCTCCTGTCACCTCTGCCATGCCACCCCCTGTACAGCTGATACTCATGTAAGAGACCACCAGGCTGCCCAGACCCCTCACATGGGTACCGGCCATACCCCCTTGATGGCGGTGTTCTATGAAAGTTTGTGACTACATTACAATGTGTGACCGGTGACGTGGTCACACATTTTAATGTAATCCCGCCAAGTTTTTTGTCGGTGGAATGTGTGAACGCCAATAGGTCAAGAATTCCAACGCTTTCTCAGCTGTTCCAGGGCATATTGGCATTGCAAATCGTATGTGCAGGAGAACTGATCTGCCCTGGAGGGTGTCCAGGACCGGACCTCACTGGGCCCTCCCACAGCCTCAGGCCCCATGCCCCGGGCGGTTCTGCCCCTGGACAGAGGGATGAAAGAGCCACAATCTGACGGCAGAACATCTTGCCGTCAGATTGCATGCTATAGCCAGCCTTGTGCCGCCTGCTGCTTCTCCATCTTCTGTACAAAGGCGGCTGGGCCACATCTTACTGGGCTCCTCCACCTGGAAGCTCTTTGGTTAGGCGGCTGCTCATGGGGCCTCGCGGCCACCTAATTTCCTTGATTTGGCAGCCGCCACTGCCTGATTCTGTGCAGCCCAGCCGACCAGGCTTACTTCGGCCCACCGGCAAGTGCCCGATATGTCCATTGGCCAGTCTGGTCCTGTCTGCCTCACTGGTTTGGGGGGGCTTGTTTTTTGCCACCCCCCTGGAAAGTGACGCCCAAAGCAAAGGCCTAGTTTGCCTTTGCGGTAGATATGCCCCTGCTGATGGCCTCATGCTCGATATTATATAAGAACTGTCTTTCTGTGTCAAACAACAAGAATCAGTCAGAATAAGTATAATCCTCCCCCTCCAGGTCTTGTTAATCAAGTGAACCAGCTTCAAGCTTCTTTAAATACCCCTGCAGCTCTCCTTTCAGGATCTACTGTTTCATACTATGACCCAGGTATTATAACCATTGTCTGATCCACCTCAAACTGAATCAGTTGAACATTCTGTATGATTGTGTAAAGGAGGCACACATTGTTTTGCTTCTGTCCTTTTGTCTGGGCATTTCTACTCTGGCAGAAGAACTTTCATGATTTGTTTACATTCCTATTCACCTTTCAATTCAAATCTCATGTTCCTAATCACATCACAATTGCCACAAAAAAGGGAGTACCATTACCCATTTGTGATACATGAGGAGGTAGCTGTGTGGGGATGATTTGTTTGAGAACGTGATAGTTCAGTGGTTTGTTTCAGGCGGGATAGGCTTCCCTGAAGAGATGACTCTTTAGGGATCGCCTAAAGGCAGTCAGAGTAGGAGACAGACGGACAGGTTGGGGTAAAGAGTTCCAGAGGATAGAAGATACTCTAGAGAAGTGATGGAGGCGAGCATGGGAAGATTTGACGAGGGAGCTAAAGAGCAGGAGGTCTTTGGAAGAGCGGAGGGGGCGGTTAGGGTGATACTTTGAGAGGAGGTCGGAGATATAGCCGGGGGCAGAGTTGTGGATGGCTTTGTTTGTAAGTGGTTGTTAATATTTTGAATTTTATCTTTTGGGCGATTGGAAGCCAGTGGAGGGATTGGCAGAGGGGGTTGCAGACACTGAGCGGTTGGTTAGGTGGATGAGTCTAGCAGCTGCATTCACGATAGACTGAAGGTGGATAGCCTGTGTAGAGGTAAGCCAATGAGGAGGGAGTTGCAGTAGTCTCCTAGCGCTACTTATAGTTCAGTATAAGTAGCTCTAGGAGAAATGAAACAATAGCCTGGTTCAACCAGGATGAATTTATTCTGCCTAATAAATACATTCCAAATTGTATAGCTTCTTCCCAATGAGGCAGTGTAAGTTAAGAGTGATGCAAGAAGCAGAACCTTTACTAGTAATGATTACCAACAAGAATGTTATAGAAAATTGGTCTGTAATTATAAACTAAGAGAGTTATTTACTATGGAGCCGAAGGATCCAGCCGTAGCTTCAGCTGATCCTTCGGCTCGCTTTGACCGTCTGAGTCCTTCGGTTCAGTCGAGTAGCCCGTACAGAAGCCAAAGGCAGCCAAGCGGCTCAGCCGAACCAAAGGCATATGTTTCGGCTCGACTGAGCCGAAGTGCAGCCAAAGCACCGAAGGGCCGACCTTTCTCCACGCAAATGATAGCTAGGGGTGGAGTCAGCCGTGATCTCACAGCTCGCGCCGCCCAGTTATAATGACAGATCAGCGTCCCCAAATGACCTGGGAGAGCTGATCTGTCATTAAACAATAACAACAGGGCGAAGCCGGCCGTGGCGTCATGTCCAGCTCTGCCCAATTGTTATTAATTGGCCGGGACCTGCTAGAAGACTCTGGCAGATGCCGGCAAATAGGAAACAGTTGGACTGGCCTTTTTTAAAAGTCTGGCGTTTTTATTAAACATTTGTTTAAACCCTTTAGTGAATGGGTAGGGGTACCCCTCACTCATTTACAAGGTGGGGGGGGGCATATCTGGGTGCTTCTTTATTGAAAGGCGTACCCCAATGTGAATAAGCCCCCCCCTGCCTGCACCCCCCACAGACCCTAGAAAAGCACCCTCCCAGTGCCGAGGGCATGTGGCCTGGTATGGCAGGGGTGGGAGGGTACTTGCTCCTCTCCCCCCTTTCCTGCCCTTCCAGGCCTGTGCTTTTCCCCATTTTTGGGGGTGGGGTTCCTCCTTAAAACTCCTACTTTTGACTTTTGGGGGGAACCCCACGCTTTTTTTTGTCAATGGGGTCTCTCCTAACTTTCCTACCAGACCTAAAGGGTCTGGTATGGTTTGGGAGGGGGACCCCCTACTGTTTTTAAGGGGGGGGAGTTTAATTTCTTTTTTTTTTACATTATTATTTTCTAAACTTTTTTTACATTTATTTAAATAATTCTTAAACTTTTTTTTTCATTTATTTTCATTTATTTCTATTCTGCTCGCTTCCTCAGAGGTAGCGAGCAGAATAGCGGAGAATAGGGGCGAACGGCAGCGAGTGAGCTGCCGGAGCTTTGGCTCAGCAGATCCAGATGTTGGATCGGCTGAGTCGAAGTCCCTCTGCACTTCGGCTGATCGAAGGCAGCTGAAGGCAGCCGATGTATGGCTGATTTCAGCCCATGTACGGCTGAAATCAACCGTACTGAGCTGTAGTGAGTAGCCGAACATACTAATTGATCCTTCCTGTGAGCAGCGGCACCACAAGGTAGCCATCAATATGGTCTGCACTGGACCACCATGAGATGATTTTAATTGAATATGTTTCATAGGTTCGCCATCACTGACATAGGATGCTAAAATAACAGCGTTATACTCACCCGAACCACGATCCTTGCTGACTCCTAGACTGGTCCATTCAGCCCGTCTCCTCCTCAAATCCAGCGATGGAAAGTCTCACTGTCCTCATGTATAGGATGTGATGACTCCCAGGCTCTTAGATCGCTGGAAC